TTATAAACTTGGACCATAATAATAGATAAAAAATAATTCTCAAATTTTTTATGTGCTCCGTTGGTACCGAGATGCGTTTTTTGATGGTAAGCAATCAGTGTTGCCCATACACACTTGTAACACCAGAGGAGTGTTCTGAGTATGTTGCCGGTCTTTTGGGAGCTAGTAATAAGAGGATTTGGGTAATTTACTATCCTAGTAGGAGAGGGGTAAGACTTAGGCTTGCGATAACATTTGTCCATGTTTAAGGCCTATAAACTAAATCACTTAGGTATTAATTATAATTAGGTAAATATAATTTAACACTTAAGATGAAGACACAGAATCTTGATATAATAAAAAAACTTACTACGTACATTTATAATATTTAGGTATGCATGCATTAAGTATATCTGATAGGTAAAAATTAGTTCAAGTGACTGCTTCCTTAGGCTTGTGGTTAGATAACTTTACTGGGTTTTTTGACAACAAAATTCCCGGTAGTGCTGCGGTGGAATCAAGATTTATGAAGCTAGTCTACTGTCAGTGATATAGCGTCATGGGATTAGATTACGTAGGTAGCAAAAAGTTCGAATAAGTACTAATATTGAATATTATTTAATTACGTTATAGTATCAATACAGGTGTCGCTCTATGTATACCTATTTGTTTCTGTATATAACAAAACAAAAATGTGTAAATGAAATTAAATTTAAAATTACATAATCGTAAAAAAGAATATTTATTGTAAATATAAAAATACTCTATTATACTTACAAAATGAATCACATTAGCTAATCAGCTTAGTACCAAAGATTAATAAAATATTATACATTTTCGATTATTTAATCAATAACTGTTGAGTTATCAAGATGACTCAAAATAAGCCTGGTGAGGCATTGCTTATCTATAATATTATACAGGCGAAAGGTAAGTGCTTAAGAAAGAAAGGGATTCCAATTTCCTTGGTCATGATATTACGCGTAAACCGCTAGACCGATATTTGATTTCGATAAATATACGTACGCATTTACTAAGCTCATGGGAAGTTTTTATTACAGATACCTATAAAAAAGTAGAAAAGTTAATCTAGATTTCTAGAATCAGCGTCCCTTACGGGGTTGTGGCAGTCGTCTAACAAACACAATAAGCTAGGTCCAACTACCTAGGTGCAGTTGGACGTTTGTAAGCAGCTGGGAGGTTCGCTAGTACCTAAATAAAAAAGTACAAGTCCAATGCACTCTTATAATATCTAGGTATACGTATGTGTGTATAGGACACACGCTCGTCAGGTTTCCAAAGTATCCAGCCGTAAATAGCCGGGACTAAACCCAAGTATAATGTAATACTAACAAGTTTATCCAGCTTTTGCAGTTATAAAGTTTATTTGCGTTTTATTCATATTTTCAACGACGGCAACACTTTTGTAGAGTTACAAAGAATATCTCTTTAATATCTTCTTCTTCTTAGCCCCTCTTTTTTTAAAGGGAGCAAGTTTTCAAAGGACTACTATCACCCTGGGTGTAATGAGCAGAATTATAGACTCTTACTGACATAAAAGCGCCCTGTTCCTTCTCCTGCTCTAGTCCGAGACCGCGGTACATGAGCGTGCACCCGCAACCATAGATTTTTTTGTCTGGGGAAAATCATCAAATGGTTTGTCACGCCCAGGGTGGGGCGGGAGGCAGTGTCAGACTCTTACTGACTTAAAACACCACCGTTTCTTCTTCTGTACTAGGCCGAGTCCACGGTGTCTTCCCCCTAGCTAGATCTTCTTCTAAGATGGGCTCATAGGCCTTATAAAGAATAATAAAAGATACAATTTTGTGTGACGTCATCATAAATGAAGTGAAACACAAAACCAGCTACCATCTTAATCCGCAGTCGCTAATTATCCAGTCTAGAACAGTTTACTTTACAAAAAAAAAACCGTGTCATATGTTTTATAACAGCTTTAAAATAACTTTTAAATTTATATGCCGCGTATATTACTTCAGTGTAACGCTCATTGTTCAAACATTTAATGTTTTCTTACAGCTGTGTGCCTACTTATCTATGGCACACACTGGCTACCACAGAATTTTTATTGTAGCTGATAACGTTTCTATAAACAAAGTTAAATGATATGAAACTGGGTAATATGGCGAACTTGTTGGCAGGTGAGTATTATGTATAGTCGAGGCCTTTAATAGTCAGATCGCAATAAAAATGTTTTGCTTACCTATATGACACAAGTGTATTAAAGTTACGTTACAAGCATGCTATTATTTTAAACACAATTCCATCTAGAATTAACTCTGATGCAAATATCTACATATGTAAAGTTAGTCTCAATTAGTAGGTACTTTTTATGACCTGATGGTAAGCAAATGGCGCCGCCCATAGATACCCGCAACTGTAGAGGAGATATATTTTGTCGGTTAGGGAATGAATTGACTGAAGATTTTGGGATTGTGGATGGGGAGAGAAATTATTGGCTCTTTGGTGATCCACCTCACACTAAATACCTACAATATACAATACTATTGAATGTATTTCAAAAAGAAACATACTTTATAGAAATGGCTGGAAATCGTCACATCTAATTAGTACCAATTACTTGCCTATTCAATTCAAAGCAGCCTGTAGATTTCTGTCGTACGAAGCGCTCCAAGCTATTACATCAACTACGCACACAGAAAAAAATTCAATTACATTTTGAAAGTGTAATTGAATTCAAAAATATCAATCTCCTAGAACGTGCGTAGGCCACCTGCCAGACTGCGAACTTTAAAGTACCTTGCAATGAAGACCTTGTTAACCTGATTGCCTCTACACTACTCAGTTTATTAGCAAGGCAATAAAGCTTGAAGGAATGCTATGACATCGAAGAAGCATTCGCACCAAAATAACAGACATCTTGTAGAGTGTTTACTGTCTAAACACATTGTTTCCTTCAGACAACACGCGGTAGATCGATCGAATTTGTTGTTTAAATTAAGTGACCAGAAACTTATTGCAATTTAGTATCCTACTTCTCGGTTTCCACCATTTGATAAATTATTACTTATTTTTATCGAAACTTGAAAAACTAGCATACTTATTTACTCATACTGAAAATTATCCAGGGAAATTGAAATTGGGTGCGTGAAAATATGATTATTGTTTTAATACTTGTCGTCGTAATATTGTATTGAAAAGTAAAAATAATATATAAATTTTCGATTAAGAAAACTACCCAATTCTTAATACAAGAATATGTCACACCGCAGGGGACCATTAGATTAATATGTACAAGTTAGTGAGTAGGTTTCTACGAAACAACTTAATTATATTTTATGACTGTGTGAGCGATGCAATGTGATAGAACGTCAATAAGCAACGTTTTAATAGACGACGAAATTAGTACCGTCTTCATTAAGCCCTTTTTACGAGGTATGTATGGGAATGTTATTAACTATAATCCCATAAACAAGTATTCAAATTCCATTCCTGTTTTAACGTTAACTTCTAAATTTAACAACTTCACTCACAATCATACTTGTCATTGTCACAAAATGGTTTTTTGACTCAATAAGTATGATAAAAAAGATAATAAATTATTTCGACCTCAATTCTGTTGCATATTTGCAAAATATTTTAAAATAAAAGAGTGAGTCATTGGACTCTACACTGGGGGGAATGTCCAACAGATTACTCTATCGGCGGCTTAATCAATTCTGCATTTAATTTTCCTATCCTTGGTCAAGGTCTTAGAAGTTGTTCTACGGTACTACACATAAAATCACCCGAAAAAGCAACTCGAGCAAAATCTGGAACTCTTGAAACACTAAAGTCTAAACTAACGAAGTACTGTATACATATGGAAATGCATATAAGAAAGCTGTTCAAGGGTCATTGACATGCATGCCATGACGATAAATCCATTGGAGTCGTTAATGATGAAGTAGATGAACTTATGAGACTCTCAACAGTCAACAGCGTAGGAGAAAGCTAGCCAAGGGTCAGCCACCTAGGCAAGCGAGAAAACAATAGAAACGTTAGATATTAGGAATAGATGAGCTCTGATGAGTGTAGTGGAGCAGTGATTGATATATTGTTGTTATAGAGAACAGAATAACAATAGAACATACATTTGTAAATACATGTATAGGTTCGTCAAAGCGATTGTCTACATTGTAGCAATAAATGAAGCATTATCTCCTTCATTCCATCGTTTTCGAAACCGGTACCTTATCAGACAATTACTTTAAATTGTGTCGGTAATAGTTTGGTTAGCCACAGATTGTTTAACCTGATATAATGTAAATAAGAGGAAGATGTTTTTGTGTATACTAGGTCTTTTAGTAATTAAGGATAGCTCAGGGGTGCAACCTTGGACCAATTCTTACTTATTTGTTTTTTGTAACTCGACTGTGTTATCGCTAAGTCGTTCTTTAACACGGTCTATTTACATTGAAACATTCTCGGCATTGTTTATCGAGTTAGTTCAACACAAGTATTTAGTTATTTCTTTCAAACTGGCACTACACGGTATTTAAAAAATGAAAATTTTGTATTTTTCCACCGTTAAGAACCTTCGAGACAAACTAACGATTTGCGAAAATCCCATCCCATATCAATGTATGAATAAGCCCAGAGATCATAATTAATTCGAACGTATTATTCCGTAACTTTTTTGTTTCCGCAATTATGACGTCAGGCGGCCAGTTCTGAATTAATTCGCTAACATCTAGGTGCACGATACACAGAATAAAAAGTAAGGTGCACTCGCCGCCCGGCGTCTGTACCTGTCATCCCCAAGCGAGATCTCGCGCACTCAAGTGTATGTAGCCACGAGGAAAGGTAGTCTCACACGCACGCCTTACGAAACACAACAGCTCTGCGAGCGTCTTCGGAATTTTTCAATTACAAATCAAATTACACTTTCACGGTGTTTTATTTAATTCGAATTTCGAAATAGTGCGGTCGGTGAAGTTATAACAGCGGGGACTGAACTCGAAAGTGTTTATTTCATACAAAAGTTATTTTGAAACGACAAAATGAAAACGGATTACGCTATGGATGAGATGCAGAAGAGTAAGTCATTTATTTTTCTCAATTATAATATTTATTGAAATAGAAATACGTAGATATAAATTTTGTTGGTAGAACGTGCGTGAGTGTGCAAATTATTTCATGCGTGTGCGCATTTATGTCGTTAGAGTAACCGCTGAAATTACTCTCAATTTCTAAGTATATTTAAATTGTATTTCTTATAAAACAAATAATGTGTCGAATAAAAAAATCTCCGATAAAATACAAATGTTTACGTATAAACAAACGTTGCGTGAGATAGTCAAGCGTCATCGGCGCATGCGCAGTCGTATATTTAATGACATTTTATTGCTTATATCACCTTAGTTCTTTTTTGCATTAACTACAAAATAAAAATTTAAATTCAACATATCGTTTCGTAATAAATTAAGTGACTGGTTGTATGTTTATCAATGAGTATTTAGAATAAATACTAATAATTGAGTGGCGCAGAAGTATCACACGTAACGTGAAAAAAATATTCTAGAACGTTTTATATAGTGTAAATAAATTAGGATTTTAACAATACTTACAAAATATCACAGCTATATATATTGCTGGAATTATTTTTTCATTCTCATTTTCATTTCTCTTTGTAGAACATTGACACAAATTTCAAGATAAAAAAGGTTCAGAGTTAATCACCCACATTATTCCAAGCTCTATATACTTACATATTTATACATAAACCGATATGAAAAGGTTAGTACATATGAGTATTTATTACCATTCTTATCGATTTGAATTTCGAATTAAGCCCGTATTAAAAAAAAAAACAATTAAATTTATATATTTTTTTCGTTTTATTTTCATACAGTGCTTTAATAACTTATCTAAAATGTGATAGAAAATAAAATACATAATATGAAAATAAGTGGTTAATACGATCTCTAACAGTTAGGTCTAGCATCTGATTTTTAGACGGGTTTTCTATTTTTACAAAATCATTAATAACCAATCGAGAATTAATCATTTCCTTATATACGAGTAATTATTATTAAATAACTTTTAATTACACGTGTGCAAATATTAAAAACTCGATTTTAATCACGACAATATTTCAAATGCGTAGAATTTAAATAAGTAAAACATATATTTTCGCGCATGATCAGACATAAATATTGAATGTAATAAATTATGATTTTAGAGATTTGGTTCTTGCTACCCTACCTAGGGATGTGGACATGGTGTCTCAAAAATTATTTGATACGATTGTTATAGTCGTTTTAATAAACAATATCAATGTTATTAAGAAATCAAGAAATCAAAAATACTCATCCAAAGCTTTACATTGATACTAACATTGAGTGTTAGCAGAGGATTTACCTTCAATAGTTTTCTGTCAATATGATCAAAGGCACAAAGAAGTCAAAAGCAATCTCTATTATCACACTGTAGTTTTAATAAGTAAAGCGTGCCTCATCATCAAAATAATATGAGATCTAGAATCACAATAAATATTAAGTATCGAAGGCCTGAGTTGTACTCACTCGATAAAATTTTGTATGCTTTTCAAATGATTAGTTCCATGTAAAAGATCGACGACAGATTTTATCGCCTGAACGCATAATATCAGTATTTAATATCGATATTTTTAGTGACTAGCAAAGTTCTAAATAAAATTACTGAATATTTATATCAATTAAAGTGTACCAACTTCAACTATTTCCAATGAGCTGACTTACCAAACAAGTCGACCATATTAAAAGAGTACTTTGAGTATGTCTACTAATACAGCTTATAATATTTTCTTTTATAAAAGTGTAGCCAGTTTTATTCCATCGTATAAAATTGCCAATCGTAAATAATGTTCTTACTTTTACGATATTAACTCCTACAAACGATCACTTGACACTCTTTAGAATTTATTCTTTTACGTATAAAATCAATATTTTATCGTCATTTGTTTATTCAATTGTTACTCTTTCAATGAATAATGTATTTCTTGATAAAATACCGCAGTGAACTAAAAAAAACATCGTGAGGAAACCAAGTATTAAAATTTTTGACTATTAACTTTTAAATAGCCTGTCCATCTTGACCAAGCGTAGTGAATAATGCTGAAACCTTCTCCGTGTAAGAAGACACTTGCTCAACAAGGGCTAGGGCAAGGGAATAAGTGTATAAGAAATTAAAGTAACTCTAATGATAACATTATAATGTTGAATCACGTACTTTTGTTGAACTAAAACTAAATATCTATTTACATTTTTTGAAAATTATGATTAGCTCGGGATTCTTGTAGAAAATGATGTATTTTCGAAGCGGAGTTTCAAATGTGTTTTTTTTCTTTCTAAATAAATTACTTCCTTATTTTCGTCGTATAATCATTTCCACGATTAATTTTTTCGTGTCTTTTTTTAAATTGCGAATGAATTGCATTTGTTCCTTCAGATTAGAGCCAGATACGGGATTTACCTTCACATTAGTTCCAGCACATCTTAACGTAGCCTTAGATTTTTGTCGAATCTTTTTTTAGTAGGATATAGGTAATACAACCTTTTCTATGTCTTGGAGCTCTCCAAGACCTTGAAAAGGAATCAATTTAAACTTTATTCCTATTAATCATACTGTTCAAAATTCTGTAGCGTTGCTAGTTTAGTTTATTTTCTTTCCTACTAGGTTAAGCAAAAAGCCACCAATTGTTCGCAATATAACTGCTTCATTCAGCTACCCATTTACTTGTGTAGTCTACATAATAATATGTAAATTTTCTTAATTATTAAAAAAAACTATTTTTAATAAAAAAATATTTCTTTCTTTCACAGGAACCTCTTCAATCATCGGTCTGTCTGATGTGACAGACAATAAGCTGATCTGGAGGCAGCTGATCGCTGAACTGGCAGGAACCTTCGTGCTGGTGTCCATTGGTGTGGCGTCCTGCATCACCATCCAAAATGCCAACGCACCACAAACGACTAGCATTGCACTTTGCTTCGGTCTTCTCGTTGGATCTATTGTGCAGGTCAGTACATTATTGAAGACTAGAAAAGACTATTAGGATTTTGTTGATTATTTCAATAAAATCAGTCAACTTTATAACATAGTAGGTAAATCTTGTTTTCATTATCTTAAATTATAGAAAATGCAAAATACGACATACATATCTCTTTCGAATATCTATTGTCATCTAAATATAAAATAAGGATAACAATAAACATAACGTTATTTTCGAAAAATAGGAAATGTCATGTGCCAATTATTTTTATATTTTTAATTCGGTCAATTATTTTTTAATACGAGTAGAAGCCATTTAGATTGGTAACTGCCAATAGGCTGCTCAATTATCTTAAATTAACAAATATATCCTGAGATCTCTTTAATATTTGGGATTAATTTAACACAAACGAATTATGTTAGTTATAATTGATTTAAAATATTAAAAACTATTTTACAATTTTCCTAGTACCTACATGAACCTAGTACTTCATTTTCAACAATGATCGGTATTAGAGCTGGTCCAGCCTGCGAGACATTGTATCATTATATCAGGGTACTTGTAACACTATTGTATTGTAACCGAGAGAGCTTTTGTGATGTCTGTTTGTTGTTGCGATACACTCGTAGCCCGTGACATACATACATACTCACAATCCTTACATTGATATAGTAGGTAGGTATTTAGTACTCTTTTAAGCCAATCAAATATTATGTATAAACTTTTTGAATTACGAATACTACTTACTATAGGCCACGGCCTAGAGCAGAAGACGGAATGGGGGTGTTTCAGTCAGCAAGAGTCTGACACTTTTTCTCGCCTCGCCCTGAGCTAGAGAAGTCATTTGATGATTTGCTCCTTCCCAAAAACGCATTCAAATAAAACAAATCAAGTTCGAATACCCTAGATTAACTCCGACAATTAATTATAAATATGACCGAATTTATGACCAATTTAAATGATATTAATTACAATGTCCTAATGAATATTTAAGTAAGGCTTACAAGATAACAATTTCCTCGATCTCCTTGTCGTACAATGTCAACTTAAATAAAGTTGACATACTAAATTGTAACGTAACCAGTAGCTATCTAAGACTAATTTGCTTTAAGCCTCTATCTAATCTCCTAGTACAAACATAGCCGCGGAGATAATAAGCGATCTCAAACGATCTCACTTCACGATAACAATAGAACAGAGAATATTGCAATAATATAATGCAGCCGACAATAATATGAAATCCGACAATTTTTGCAACGTCCGGCCTTTCCCACGCGGTCGCAGACCCGCAAGCGGTCGCGCGTAAAATGTATCACACATTACATTCAATATCGTTAAAAGGCCAATATGCAAAACAGATCAATACATTAACCTTGACATACGAACTAGTTACCGATCGAATACTGGCTTTTATATTTTTAAAGCGGTGCCTTTAGTGTGATCGTTCAATTAATACTTATACAAAACATATTTTTGATTGTATAAACTTTGCCTATTAAACAGTCTAGTCTAAAAAAATGCTGATCTATCGTGATCAGCATTTTTTTTTTATATTTTTTGTTCTATGGACGATACATTGTGAAAGATAAAAAAGTTTAAATGAGAACAACAATTGCAATCACACCGTGAATCTCGTGTCAACAATTATTGTGTGAAAATTAAACACACTCGTATCTTATTCATCTCCATGACCCATTTGTTAATATTTTTCTACTGTCACCATATATAGATAGTTCAAACAATTTGTATGAGAGTGTAATTGAGACAGCCAAGTGGTCACGATCATGCGGTATTATTCGTCACGCATTAACTAACCCTCCGGCTGTTTTATGAACTAGCCAAATTATAAACATAACGGTAACATGAAATGTGTGATTTTCTTTTAATTTTAATAGTTTTAACCTCGAACTTTTGACAGGTATATACGTGTGTAAGTTTACATAAGTGTAGTATGATAAAATGTTATGTATCACGTATCACCTCGATATTATGATTGTGATTATGATACCTAACTTGATGTATCGTTGACCATGAAACAGCGAGTACACAGAGGTGGAACTTTAAGTTACATGAGTGATATGCAAATCGGAACTTGATCGGTACTTTATCGATATTTTGTTTTCACTAACAATAGTGTCGAAATGATAGGCGTGTCGTTTGTTCTGTTTAATGTCTCTTCTCTTGGGTCAAGGTGAATGCATATTACTGTATGGTTAAATGATAATTTGATAGTTAGAAAAATATTTATACGAATCTCCATAGTGAAAGGAAATATGGAATTAAAAAACAATTATACAGTGTTTTGACGTAACAAATTAAATTCGATATGACATAATTGGGACTTTCGAAATATTAATAAAAAATAAATATTAACGATTGCTAATCATACGAGGTCAAGTGATAGAATTATAAAGGTACATTAAATTATTCCGATCAATCGAACAAAAATGATAAATTAAGATATGTCATGTGACTCTAAGAGATGCTGATAACATTCAATTTGTTAATGATTAATGTAACATGGCCTGCTACACCGTACTTGTTGATATGTCGATATTATTGTGACAAATATTAACGATGCTAGTAATTGCTTTTATTTGGTTGAGTTGGGTTCAAGGCAGGAATAACTGTAGTGATTGGGAATAATCAGTAGTAGGTTTAGTGAGAAAAAGTAAACTAATTCCCTTTTGATTTTGGAAATATAAAACCAAGCCTCTGTTTCAAACTAAAAAAAGTAGGTTTCTCTGTCCCTTCATCTTAATTCTTGTATGCTTAATTTTTTTTAAATATGCAACGGATTTTGGTGCGGTTTTTTCAATAAATGGAGTGATTAAAGAGGATGGTTTATACGTATAATATGATATATAGGTATGTATTTTTTTAATGTGATAAGTTTGCAAACGAGCATACGGATTACCTGATGGTAAGCAATCAGCGTCGCCTATGGACACCCGCAACGACGGAGGAGAGGACGAGTGCGTTTCGCCCTTTTGGAGATTAGGGATTTGGAGATTTTGGGAAAGGGATTCTGATTGGGGTAGGGGACGGATTGGGCCTCCGGTAACCTCACTCACACGGTGAAACTCAACTCTTTGGTTATTTCACGCCGGTTTTCTGTGAGGCCGTGGTATCACTCCGGTCGAGCCGACCCATTCGTGCCGAAGCATGGCTCTCCCACACTTATAATAACGTATAATTAAATAGTGGAGTAATTTAGTGTCAGTATTGCACCTGTATGAAGCCGGGGCAGTCGCTAGTTACCTATGTATATTCGATATTCCTTAGCCATTGCTTTATTAATTTTATAACTTTTCGCACCTTTTTGTATAAACTAACACCATGTCACATTAACACCTATGTCATCTCATTTGACAATACCTTATACAGTGATATCATTTAGGAAAATGCCTTGTACATTTTTTATTTATATTATGTAGAAACGCAACGAAACATGACAATACTTGGAAATCCCGATTCCAATCTTTGCCTGCAACATGATTGATGAATAGAACTCGTAATTATCTTATATGATGGGATAATTATAATGATGCACTGAGCACCGTAATAGATATTATCATCTTGTGATAATTATTTTGTAAAATCTGTTTACTTCGTTGAAAGACACAAAGCGCAATTGGCAAACACAAAGGTACGGGTACCGCTTCAAAATTGGATATGAAATTACCACTATTAGAAAGCATTTAATCTCGTTAAGAAAAATTGACACCTACCCGTCCTCACCTAGACCTTCTTAAAGTAACTACGAATATGAGATTTCAATCTAATAATCCGTACCACAAAAGTAATCAAAGTTCTATAATCCTCATAAACGCCGACTATGGGCACCCGTAACATTAATAGAGTTACGTATGCGCTGTCAGCCATTTGTGATTTGAGGTTTGGGGATAAGGTGAGTGGGAGAACTGCTCTCTAGTAACCTCACGCACACGACGAAATACAACGCTGTGTTTGTATCACGGCGATTGTTTACCACTTTTTTGGGTTATCCGTGAGTGGCGAGAGCGAGATTGTCAGACTCTTACTGACTAAAAGCCCCCTGATCCTTCTCCTTCTCCATGCCTGGGCATTGGTACAACCCCAGGTGTCCCACAATTAAGCTTATATCTTCTTAGCCTAAGGCATATATGTTATACAAAATGTACATTATGGCCACACTATAATCCCGTTGACAAGTTCACGCATGACCTTTCGATGTAGTTGTCGTGGAGGTGCGCTAACTGGTTCAGTACTGATGTCTGATATTACGCCATCCCTACGCCACGACTGGGCCGTCACCGTGCTCTGTCAATCCGCCAACATTAGCATGACAATAGAACAATAACATCTATGCACGTATGTTCATAGTCGTCATTCGATGTGTGATCTTATAACTGAGATTATTAATGTAATAACTGGTTTATTTATGTTGCGAAATTTTGACAATACAATTTCATTCAAAATTTGCTTCGTGATGATGTTAGGTATTCCAAATTTTTTGTTCTAGGTATGGGCTTTGAGCTTCCATACCTCGTCATGATAGATCCTTAGTGTTTCTCAAATTCTGAAAACGCAAACAACATTTGTAGCTTACAAATTTTCAAGTTACCAAAACGATATTCTGTAAAATTAAAATTACTGCTAGAAAAACAGTTTGCCGGCTGCAGTCTTTCCGTCCAAATATAATTTAGGTGTCTTCAAGGCTGGAGTGAATAGGCTCTTAATAAACTAGTGCGCCTTACCATCAACGATTGCATCACTGCTTACCATCAGGTGGGACCGCAGTCAAGCACTAGGTTATAGCAAGTAAAAAAAAGAAACATTTCAAGTTTACTTTTATGTGACAATAAATAAATAAAAACAACTTCTAACTATCTAGTATTTACGTTGCATTTACTTTGACTTGATACACAGAATAAACTTAAGGTTGATTTTGCAATGGTTAGATAAAAGTTATCTTTTTTTTTTTTTTTTTTGTCAGGGGAAAATCATCCAATGACTTCTCCCGCCCAGGGTAAGGCGAGAGAGAGTGTCAGACTCTTACTGACTAAAAACCCCCCCGTTCCTTCTCCTGCTCTGGGCCGAGGTCGCGGTGCCTCATTGCGCTTACCCCGCAGCCCCGGCTAAAGATAAAAGTTATCTGGGGAATAATTATGATGCTGTTGCGTAAGAATTTTTGTATAAGACAGTGACAGCAACAATTTTATTCCTCAGACAGCATTTATCTGACTATTGAAAATTAGCCCTTACTGAAAAGTCAGTGGGCTGCGCGATATCACCGCGACGCTCATGAATAAGAATCCCATTGTGACTTGAAACTAGTAGAGCTTTTCTCGGTTCATTCACGTTAGTAAATCTTTATCTATACTAATATTATAAAGAGGTAAATTTGTAAGTTTGTATGTAGGGGGTAATCTTTGGAACCGCTGGTCGAATTTCCAAAATTCTTTTACTGATAGATAGCTACAATGTTCCTGAGTGCTATAGGCTGCATAACCATCACGCTACGACTAAATAGAGCCGAGCAGCGGGTGAAACCGCGCGAGAGTACCTAGATAGTTTCCAATAAATAAACATATGTTCCCACAAGAATCCCGTTGGCTGCCGTCACAATGTCAAAAGTCTTGACAAAGTTTATTGTAATGAATTCAATACGTAGGTACATACATACTTAGAGATACATATTGTTATATGTTTATACAAGGCGATGATTAATAGTAAGTACCGTTACTTATATGTATGTTCAGAGACCTCTGACATAAGTTAT